ATTTAGTTTCCAAATACATTTAGCTTGTCTTTCCATGGCCCTTTATTACACTTAATTTTTATTGCATCATGATCTGAAAAAGATCCATTTAATATTCCTGTCTTTCTTCATTTGACTGTCAAGTTTTTATGTCCTAATACATGATCAAATTTTGCATAGGTGCCATGTGCTACTGAGAAGAAGGAATATTCCTTTCTATTCCCATTCACTTTTCTCCAGAGGTCTATTATGTCTAGGTTTTTCTAAAATTCTATTCACAGGGGCAGCTAGGTGGTGCAGTGGATAGAGCACTGGCCCTGAAGTCAGGAGGACCTGAGTTCAAATCTGGCCTCAGACTCAACACTTGACACGTACTAGCTGTGTGACCTTGGGCAAGTCACTTAACCCCAACTGCCTCACTAAAAAAATAAAATAAAATAAAATTCTATTCACCTCTTTAACTTCTTTCTTGTTTATTTTGTGGTTCAATTTATCTAGCTCTGAGGGGGGTAGGGGGAGGTCCCCCACTAGTATAGTTTTGCTGTCTATTTCTTCCTGAAAATCACTTAACTTCTCTTCTCAGAATTTGTATGATAGACCACTTGATGCATATATGTTTAGAATTGATATTACTTCATTGTCTATGGTATCTTTTAGCAGCATATAGTTTCCTTCTGTATCTCTTTTAATTAGAGCTATTTTTACTTTTGCTTTGTCTGAGATCAGGATTGCTACCCCTGCTTTTTTTTCTTTCAACTGAAGCAAAATATTTTCTACTCCAGACTTTTACCTTTACTCTATCTGTATCTCTCTGCTTCAAATGTGTTTCTTGTAAACAACTTATTCTAGGATTCTGATTTTTAATCCACTCTGCTATCTGCTTCCATTTTATGGAATAATTCATCCCATTCATATTCACAGTTATGATTACTGTGTATTTCCCTCTGATGTGGATGGGATCTGAACACCTAAAAGGAAAAGATCATGTCTTTGGGATCTGGACCCCAGAAAGGAAAAGCCCTGGATCTTCCCACGTGGTCAAGTCTCTGGCATTCACCTGAGGCATTGACCCATCCCACCATACCTTTCACTGTGGCCTACACCCAATACCCCGATTCTCTGTTACCTCTAACCTAGCTCAGCCCTTCATTGTCTGTTACCTCCAGATTACTCATGGCCATGTCCCACCTTTAATTCCACCTAGACTAACAGTCTTCTGTATAAAAGATCCATCTTGCACTCCATTAAAGTGCTCAAGTTCAGTCTGGCCCACTTGTCAGGAGAAGCATCACAAATGCTCAGATTACTTGTGAGTCTGGCCATTGCTGAGATTCCTTAAGATCTTGCCCACCTCTATTGGTGTTCTAATAAACCTCGTCTTTGGCTGAAAGAAGGCTTGAGTTGAATCATTTGAGGCAGGACCTGTACCACTATTTCAGGTTCCAGCACCCCTAAACCTCAACAACTCCATCTTATTTTCCCCCTCATTATACTTTTCTCTCCTTTCACCCTGTTCATCTTCAGGGTTTTGCTTCTGACCACCACCTCCCTCAATCTGCCTCCCTTCTATCAGCCCCCTCCTTTTCTTTCCCCTTTCACCTCCTACTTCCCTATCAGGTAAGATAACTGAGTGTGTATATTATTTCCTCTTTGAACCAAATCTGATGAGAGTAAGGTTCAAACAATGCTCACTCTTCCTTTCTTTACCTCCATAGTAATAGACTTTGGCCTATTAAAGCTGAAGTCTTTCTTGGGTCTCAGTTTGTGAGAGGCAACACCCATTCAGTGATTGAAGGTTAGGTTGGAATTCAGGCAAAAGATGGCCTAGTGTGCTTTTTGAAAAGAATCAGTCTGGGAGGGGAAGATCCTTAGGGTTTCTGGCCAGAACAGAAGCAATTACTATTTACACTCACTTTGAGCCATCAAAACCCAAACAATGAGCAAATAAGGCTTGGGCTGGGATCAGTCAGTGAGAGTCAGTGATTTGGGTTAAAAGGCAGTCAAGTAGCTCCATTCAGATCACAATGGGCTTTAAAAAAGTCTGTAGACAGCCCTACATTCTTTATATAAAGCTAAACTAATTAAAGGGTATAATCATTGTGAAGTACAGTTGTGGTCTTCTTGTTAGGATGATATCCAAAATGTTTACATAGTCATTCATTAAGAAATTGGCCTATAGTTGTCTTTGTAAAATAAATTTTATTAATATTTTTATTGCTGAAATTGCCATATCTTGGGTGTCTCTTCTGTTCCCCATTCCCAGAGAGCCATATCATATGATAAATACTTTTTTTTTTTTTGGAGAAAATTTGAAGACATTTAGGTACTACACTGAAAATGTTGGAAAGCATGTGCAATGGGTGGCATCTGTGGAACTCTCACCCTCATGAAGGGGTAGGTTGAGGGTATCTTCCATTATCAATATCTCTCAATTCCTTCTGGATTTTTATAAATTTTCTTACATTTACTTTTGAATTTTGGGTGTGTTATTGTTCTTTCCATGTAATGTCTACTTATATGTTTTCCTTGTTTATGCTTACTTCTTTCTGCCTCTGTTCAGACAGATCTTTCCATACATAGAGGCATTTCTCACACATCAATTCTTACAGCACAGTAATATTCTATTATATCCATGTACCACAATTGGTCAATCATTCCCAAATTGATGGTCACCACATCAGTTTCCAAGTCCATACCACCACAAAAAGAGCTGCTATAAATATTTTTTGCATATGTCTCCTTTGCCTTTTTCCTTGATCTCCTTGGGATATAGACCTAGAATAGCAATGCTGGACCTAAGGGTAGGGGCAGTTTTATAGTCCGTTGAGCATAATTTGAAATTCTTCACCTAAGTTATTGACCTAAGTCACAGCTCCACCAAAAGTGCATTAGTGTATCTATTTTCTCACATGCCCTACAACATTTACTATTTTCCTTTTCTGACTATTTCCAAGCTGATGTGTTTAATGTGGTACCTCAGAGTTGTTTTAATTTACATTTCTCTATTTTTGATTAAAATCATTTTTTCATGTAACTCTAGATAGCTTTGATCTAGTGGTCTGAAAATAACATGGTCATATTCCTTAGCCATTTATCAATAGGAGAATGGCTTTTATTTTTTTTTATAAATTTGCTTTATTTTTGTATGCATTGAATGAGAAATGAGACTTTGATCTGAGAAAGTAGCTGAAAAAATATTGTCCAGGGTTGTTTTTGTTTTTGTTTTTCTTCTAATTTTGGTTACACTGGTTTTGTTGGTGTAAAATCTATTAAATTTTAGGCAATCAAAATTACACATAAGTTGTCAATTCCCTCAAATTAGCATTTTTTGAATGGAGACAGCATAAATAGAGATCACATTGGGTAATGTAGGAATCAGGCTTGGGCCAGTTTACCTGGTGACCTATGCTTTCCTATGCTGCTTCACTTTCTTTGTTAATCATTAATGTCAACATTATTTCTTCTCTTCTTTTTTAATATCATTATTGCCTAGGTAATTTTGAAGTCCCCATCTAGCTGACAAATGTCATATTGTAATTGTCATTGTTACCTTTGTAAATTTGAATAATTCCTATTTTTTTTTAAAACAAACTAATGAAGTTTGTATGGATGGAAGTGGACAAGGAGATCCTTGAAAAATGCCTCCAGGTTGCCCAACTGAGGTATTCTGATCCTCTCCTCAATAATCTAATAGTTTAAATGTTGACGGAAAATGATGGTGATGGTGATAAAGATGATACGGGTTCCAAGAACAAATAAAATGAGAAGGTCAGGAGTTTATGCCTAGCATGTGTTTTGATTTCAGGTCCAGGTCTCTATGCGATGCATTTAGTTTGTCTACACTTTAGTCATTTTAAAAAATTATTTGTTTTTAATTCCCTTGAGCTAGCATTTATGTAATAAAAATAGCATGAATAAAGAAAGCAAATGAAACATTATATCACAGGCTTGGCCCACTTTCCCTGCTCGCTGAGGCAGTCATTTGCTGCTTGTCTTTCTTTTTGAAACCCTTGATGTTAACCCCATTTCTGCATTTATTTTTAGCAGGACTGTGACTCTGAAGATGTAGGTAGTCTCTGTCTGGTGGAGAAATGTCATATCGCAACTGTCACTGTTCCCTCTGAAAAGTAAATTTCAATAAAACTTTTTTTTAAACTAATTTTTGTGGGTTGGATATGGAAGGCAGTCAGAACAACCTCTGAGTGTATGACTCCTGATGGCCTTATGCAATTATTCTGCTCCACTCCCAGCTGATCTTGAAGTGTTCATGAAAAATAACAATTGAGATTCCATTGATAACAATAACTAGCCTCATGCAATTTGTGGTACCTATGTTATCTCATTTGACCAAGAGAAATGTTTTCAAGCCTAATAGTTGCCACATGTAATAGGTCCACAAGAAGGATTCAGAATCTTTGGCAAAGAAACCAGTTTAGGAATAAGAAATGCAGAACCTTTTTGTAACTTCTGGGATCTAGAGACCAAAAGATCCAATACCCGAATGCATGTCCTGGAAACTGACCCAGCCTTACTACATCTTTAGGCCCTTGCATTTAGGCATTACTTATACTGAAATAATATTCCATTATATTTGTATAATATAATTTACTTAGGAATTTTACCAATTGAAGGGCAGCCCATTAGACTCAAATTTACTACTACTATTAACATAAAAAATGTTGCTAAAAGTGTTTTTGTGCTTATGACAGTTACTCCCCCCCTTTTTTAAATTTTTGATCTTCTTGGGGTATAGGCCCAGTAGTGGTATAACTGGGTCAAAAGAAATGCTCAGTTTAGTGCTTTTGGAACATAGTTTAAAATTGATTTTCTGAAGGGCTAGACCAATTCAAAGTGGTAACAATAGTTTGTTAATGGACATGTTTTCACACAGTCCCTCTAAAATTGTCATTTTGCTTTGCTTTAAATAGTCATTTTTACCAATCAATTTATAAAGGGTAATTAGTTGCTCTATCTATCTTCTTATCTTCAGTATCAATACCCTATTACTCATGACTGTGAAGTAGAACCACAGAGTTGCTTTAATCGGCATTTTCCTAATTATTAGTAATTTTGAGCATTGTTCCATATGTTTGTGAATAGTTTAGAATTTCTGCAGAAAGTGCTGCTGGCCTCATTTCTCTCCACGGGTTCATCAATGGAACTGATGAGTGTAATCACACTTGCCTTGTGGACCTTGAAGACAATGGAATGGGCAGACCTGAAGAGAAGAAGAGAAATAGAGTAGAAGAGTTAAAATAGTTTCAACTTGGGAGGTGGGCAAGTGGATACAAGCTCATCTGCTCTTGCATGTTGGAAGTTTTTACTTCAAATCTCACTTCAGCTCTATCTTAGCTGTGGCAAACTGGATCACTCACTTTGACAAACCAAGCCTCAGATAACTCATTGTCAAATATGTGGAAGAATGGCTCTTACCTCACACACTGGCCAGGGCAATGAATTGTCAAAAGGAAGCTTAAAAGTCACAAGACACTCACACAACCACATCCTCCTCCTCATCATCATCACTACCACCATTATTATCCCTGTGACTGGTACGATGCTTCCTTTCTGCACAAACACTTCAGAAAAGATCTCTTAAGAGAGCACCTGAAGAATTTCAATCATCCATTCCGATTCACCTTCTCTACTTGCCAGTTATGATTCCCTTTTCAAAACCCACCTTGGAGAAGTGGCTTCAGCAACATAAATAGTTTGTGGCAATCTTCTTTCAAGCCTAATAGTTGTCCTATGAAATTGGTCCACAAGAGAGAGTCTGAATCTTTTGCAAAGAAATAGTTTCAGCATGGAGAAATGCAGAACATTTTTGAACATTCTGGGATCCAGATACCAAGAAATCTAAGACCTGACCAGTGATAACATCCTGAAAACTGACCAAGCCCTGCTACATCATTTGGGCCTTGCATTCTACTTTCCTCAGAACCCAATTCAATTGACCACTTGTGAGATTGGAAGACGTAATGTTCATAACGCAAAACGCTATCTGTCTGCACCCAATACGATATGATAAAAGGCTTGTGCCTTGAGTCAGAAGACCACTTTTATTCTTGTAACCCTAAAACTCCGTCCATCATTTTGACTTTGCAAAAAAGACTTGGTGTCATCCATGGTTGCAATACAAACCTTGGAAAGCTTGGGGGCTCTTTCCACAAATGAAAGAAATGCAGCTAATAGGTGGTTTTGAAGGAGAAATTAGGGTTAGAGTCCAAAACCCTTTCTACAATGCTCAAAGAAAGATGTTGGGATTTCCACAGAAGTCTAAGGGGTATAGAAGTTGCCACTTGGGCACCAGAAATCTTTACTGGATATCTCACCTCAGTTATCATCTATCTGTAGCACCCTTAGTTACTCCTGTGAACACTCACAGAATTAGAGATGTCCTCTGTGAGAAGCATGATACTTGCATCATGTGGTGTCCTGCAATATTTAATGAAAAGCGAAGGAAAAATTAAAGAGGAATGGTATTAAACATCATCACCATCTGATTCATCAACATTCATGTCAGAAAAATGAATCATTAAGGTCCAATCACTTCCAGGGTTAATCCCTTCACACTCCAGATAAGTAAACTAATCTCACCAAGAAAAGACACTCCTCTCTTGTTATACTAGCTAATAATTCCATTCAGAATGCCTACCTCCAGTTAAAACTTCAAATTTCAAGAAGGATTGGGTCAAGCAACAAATCATAGAAATAATCAATAACTTCATTCAAGAGAATGACAATAATGAGACAACATACCAAAACATATGAGATGCAGTGAAAGCAGTTCTTAGGGCAAGTTTTGTATCTCTAAATGCTTACATAAATAAAATAGAAAAAGAAGAGATCAATGAATTGGGCTTACAACTAAAAAAAAAATTAAAAATCTTCAATTAAACACGAAATTAGAAATATTGAAAACCAAAGGAAAAATTAAGAAAATTGAAATTAAGAAAACTATTGAACTCATAAATAAAACTAAGAGCTGGTTTTATGAAAAAGCCAATGAAATAGATAAAACTTTGGTTAATTTAATTAAAAAAAGAAAGAAGAAAACCAAATTACTAGTATCAAGAATGAAAAGGGTGAATCTACCACCAAGGAAGAGGAAATTAAAACAATAATTGGGAGCAATTTTGCACAACTGTATGCCAATGAATTTGACAATCTTAATGAAGAGGGTACATTTTTACAAAAATATAAATTGCTCAAATTGACAGAAGAGGAAGTAAAATACTTAAATAACCCCATCTCAGAAAAAGAAATTGAACAATCCATTGATGAAATCCCTAGGAAAAATCTCCAGGGCCAGATGGATTTAACAGCAAATTCTATCAAACATTTAAAGAACAATTAATTCCAATACTATATAGACTATTTGGGATAATAGGTGAAGGAGTCTTACCAAATTCTTTTTATGATACAAATATGGTGCTGATACTTAAACCAGGAAGAGTCAAAACAGAGAAAGACAATTATAGACCAATTTCTCTAATGAATATAGATGCAAAAATTTTAAATAAAATATTAGCAAATAGATTACAGAAATGTATCACAAGAATAATACACTATGACCAGGTAGGATTTATACCAGGAATGCAGGGCTGGTTCAATACTAGGAAAACTATCAGCATAATCCATCATATCAACACCGAAACTAACAGAAACCACGTGATCATCTCAATAGATATAAAAAAAGCTTTTGACAAAATACAATACCCATTCCTATTAAAAACACTAGAGAGCATAGGAATAAATGGAGTCTTCCTTAAAAGAATAAATAGCACCTACCTAAAACCTTTAGCAAGCATCATATGTAATGGGGACAAGCTAGAAGCATTTCCAATAAGATCGGGGGTGCAACAAGAATGTCCATTATCACCACTGTTGTTCAATATTGTACTGAAAACGTTAGCTTTAGCAATAAGAGGAGACAAAGCTATCACTCTTTGCAGATGACATGATGATATACTTAGAGCATCCTAGAGAATCAAGTAAAAAACTACTTGAAATAATAAACAACTTTACCAAAGTTTCAGGCTATAAAATTAACCCATAAAAATCATTGGCATTTCTATATATTAGCAACAAAGCCCAACAGCAAGAGATAGAAAGAGAAAGTCCATTTAAAGTTACCATAGACATTGTAAAATATTTAGGAGTCTACCTCCCAAAACAAAACCAGGAACTATATGGACACAATTACAAAACACTTTCCACACAAATAAAGTCAGATCTAAATAATTGGAAAAACATCCGCTGCTCATGGGTAGGCTGAGCTCATACAATAAAAATTACAATTCTACCTAAACTAATTTACTTATTCAGTGCCATACCAATCAAACTACCAAAAATTATTTTATAGAGTTAGAAAAAAACAATAAGATTCATTTGTAAGAACAAAAGGTCCAGAATATCAAGGGAACTAATAAAAAGAAATGCAGGGGAAGGTGGCCTAGCCTTTCCAGATCTTAAATTGTATTATAAAGTAGCAATCAAGAGGCGGAGCCAAGATGGCAGAGTGAAAGCAGTGACTTGCATGATCTCTTCCCTAAACCCCTCCAAATACCTATAAAAAATGGCTCTAAACAAATTGTAAAAGAGCAGAACCCACAAAAAGACAGAGAGAAACAAATTTCCAGTGCAAGACAACCTGGATGGTTGATCAGAAAGTATATTGTGCCAGGCGAGGAAAGGAGCACAGTTCAGCGTGGGCGCGCAGGTCACAGCGAACCTGGAGCAGACCTCAGAGGACTGAATCCCAGGCAGCTGTGGCGGTTTCTAGACTTCTCAACCCATGAAAGCCAAAGACAACTTGGAAGGTCAATGGGAAGAGTCTGTGACTGCGGTGAGAGAAGGAGCTAGGTCTCAGCCGCAAGTCCCGAGCACGGCCTCTGGGGTGGTGGCTGCCTCCTGAGCTTCTGGCCCACAAACTGAGGGTGAATCTAGTGACGGATCAGAAGGGGATTGCAGGGATCTCTTTGCCAGTGCTGAGGCAGGAATCTCTTGCTTTGCCCGTGCTTGGATCTGGGTCACAGTTCTGAGGGGGAGTCCTGGGGCAAGGAGAAGCACTGGCATGGTGGAGCTTGTTCTGGTGGTGGAGAGGAAACACCTTGCCTCTTATCATACCACCTTGGAAGAACTGAAAATTTACAGCTCCCAAGAAGTATCTCTGAAAACAGCTGAACAAATCCCCGAAAATTGGGACAGTACATTCTCCACATTGGAAGCAGACTCTTACCTTAACAAAGAGTTTAAAACTCAAGTAATTGGCCAGGATCATGAGTAAGCAGCGCAAAAAGAATCAGACTATATTATCTTACTTTGGTGACAAAGGAGATGAAAACATACAGCCAGAAGAAGACAACAAAGTCAAAACTCATCTACATCCAAAGCCTCCCAGAAAAATATGAATCGGTCCCAGGCCTTGGAAGAGCTCAAAAAGGATTTTGAGAAGCAAGTAAGAGAAGTAAAGGAAAAACTGGGAAGAGAAATGAGAGTGATGCAAGAAAATCATGAAAAACAAGTCAACAGCTTGCTAAAGGAGACCCAAAAAAATACTGAAGAAAATAACACCTTAAAAAATAGCCCAACCCAAATGGCAAAAGAGGTCCAAAAAGCCAATGAGGAGAAGAATGCCTTAAAAAGCAAAATTGGCCAAATGGAAAAGGAAGTCCAAAAGATTACTAGAGAAAATACTTCCTTAAAAATTAGAGTAGAGCAATTGGAAGCTAGTGACTTTATGAGAAATCAAGACACTGTAAAACAAATCCAAAAGAATGAAAAATTAGAAAACAATGTGAAATATCTCTTTGAAAAAACAACTGACCTGGAAAATAGATCCAGAAGAGAGAATTTAAAAATTATTGGACTATCTGAAAGCCATGATCAAAAAAAGAGCTTAGACATCGTCTTGCAAGAAATTATCAAGGAAAACTGCCTTGATATTTTAGAGCCAGAGGGTAAAACAGAAATTGAAAGAATCCACCAATCTCCTCCTGAAAGAGACCCCCAAAGGAAAACTTCTAGGAATATTGTAGCCAA